AAAGTAAACACATGTAGATAGCTGACCTACGGAAGTGAAAGGTCCAGAAGCCGTCAACTTCTAATGTGGTTCTCTGCTGTTTTATATATATATATATATATATATATATATATATATATATATATATATATAAGTTTTTTAAGCTTTATTTATTCATGTATACAAGAACTGGGGTACAGGCCAGATGTGTGGGAGGGTGAGAAGATTTACCAGACAGAGCGGGGAACAGAACAGGCAGACTGGCCGAAATACACTGCTGAGGGGAGCAGTGGGTGAGACAGGAGAGGTCTGCTGCTATGCCATGTGGATATCTCCCCGACTGGTTGGAATTGAACCTGCACTGCAGAGGCTGTGGAAAGCCTCACAGCGCTGCAGTCAACCGCCTGTGCCACCAGGGATGTCCCTCTGTTGCTATGTATTAGTGGAAGATAGGTAAGCAGTGAAATATTTTGATTTGTAAAAAAATCACTTTATATAGAATTTAATGTTGGAAATTATGCTCTAACAAGGAAAGTATTAATTAAAATATTACTTTAGAGAAATAAAAAATAAAAAGTAAAAATAAACAATGGAAAACCTATTAGGCTGATTTGTACTATATTACAAATTCACCTAAAAATGTACAAATTCACTAAAAGGAGTACATTTGAACACAAGAGTGAACATTATTGCAGTGGTGAAAAATCCTTATAAAAAGTACTGGAAGATGTGTTGGGATTAAGAGTTTGGTGAAGCAAGGACCCTGCATTTTTAGGAGGGTGACAGCAATGGCAGGCTACTTTAAGTAAGTGCTACACTATTTATAATAGGTAAAATCTGGAAGCAATCCAAATGCCCCCAAATAGACAACTGGATCAAGAAGATGTGGTATATATACACAATGGAATACTATTCAGCGATCAAAAAATACAAACTAATGCCATTCACAGCAATATGGGTGTAGCTAGAAGGAGTTCTGCTCAGTGAAATAAGTCAGAAGGAAAAAGAAAAATATCAGATGATTTCACTTATAGGAGGAATATAAGGGAATGAAATAAGGCATCAGGGATCGGAACCAGGGAGGGAAGAGCTCAGGGGATTGTGGTGATGGTGCACAAGTGAATTGGTAATGGAAATTCTATGGGGACTACACCAGAGAAAAGACAGCAAACATTATTAAAAAATGAACAATGATGTAAAATATATATGAATTTAAAAAGGAGGGCCTCCCTGGTGGCACAAGAGGTTAAGACACAACCTATGAAGCTATCTGCAGCCACTGCAGCATGAGTTCAATTCCTGCCCAGGGAGCTACCCACATGGCACAGCAGACCTTTCCTGACTAGCCCGCTGCTTCCCTCAGCAGTGTATTTCAGTCGATCTGCCTGTTTCTGTTTCCCGCTCTATCTCTGGTGAGTCCTCTCACCCCCCACACCTCTGGCCTGTACCCCATTGCTTGTATGCATAAATAAATTTTTTTTAAAAAAAGAAAGAAAGTGCTACAACAGGGACCAACACAAGGTCCTCCATGTAAGGGAGTCAGGGAACACTCTGAGCTGAGACCTATGTGATAAACAGGAATGAATCAGAAGAAGATGAGCAGGTGGGGCTGCTGACTCTGTTCAGTTTTATAAAGCTTCAGATGATGAGAAAGCTGGGTATCTGGAAGTCATGGGGGGGCGGTGGGGTGGGATGCTGGAAAGTCTAAAGGAGGAGCTTGTGGTGGAGCAGAGAATGTTCACAGCTGGGCTGGGGCAATGTAGGGGTCAGATCTTAAGGGTGGAAATTCTGTGTCTGAGAAAGTGCCAGCATTGTTCAAATTTACCAGACCCCTGATAGAATGAAGACCTTGTGTCAGTTGTGTCAACCTGGTGGAATACACATGGGGAGATGAGGCGTGATACAGTCTTGAAAGACAGCAAAACAATGGTTTCTCATGTGATTTTTTGCAAGAAGTAGTTAAAATTGTTGTAAAAATAGTTTATAAAAGTATAAAAGACAGAAACAGTTACCAACCATTTGCCCCTCATGACTCTAGGTATGGGGCATCGGGATGACCATAATAAGGCCCCGATCTCACAGGGCTTATGAAGGAAGAGAACAATAGACAACTAAACAAAGAAGTTTGTCACGGGTTTTGGGGTCACGCGCTTTGGGGGACCTCTGGCAGTTCTTGACCTTAGTGGGCATTGTGCTCTTCCAGGGTCTCTCTTTACTTCTGGACTTAAGCAAGGCTCCACACAGAGCAGCATGGGCCCTCTGTTCTGTACTACCTCCTGAAGATCCTGGTAAATAAGGGTAAAATTAGCTCTGGTTTATGGGGGTCAATAAAGTTGAATCTACAAAGATGGACCAAAACATGAAGGAGCAAATAGCCCAAGGCTGCAGGATACAAATCTAACATCTGGGCAGATGTAGGGGGAGGGCCAAATGTGGTAGGGCCTGAAGCTTATCAAATTTTGGATCTTTCTTTAAGAGGCAGAACAAAAATTTAAGCATAGAACATTAGGTCCAAAAATAATTATTTAATTAAAGTGAGAAATGGGTCATAAGTTATAAAACTTGAAAGACTGACAAAAAACTTAAAAAACTTCAAAATAATCCACCAGTAAGCATTTTAGTAAACTGCCTGACATATCAGGATAATGCTATTTTTTTCTACATTTTTTAGCTGGTCACCTTTCCCTCCAACTTTACTGAGTTATGGTTGATAAACACACATATATATAAGACATATACCTTAATAACTTGAGATAGATAGATATATATCTTATATATACACTTGTATTTACATTGTGTCTAATATACAATATACAATATATATTGAGATATATCTTAATGTATGTGTGTGTGTACATCCCAATCAAGGCAGTAACATCCATCAATTCATGTTTTGTTACATGGGACCACATTAAATGTACCCTCTTAGCAAAGTTCAAGTGTACAGTATAATATTGCCAACTACAGTGCCTTATCAGATCTCCAGGACCTATTTATCTGTGAGACTAGCTTTGTGCCCTTGAACAGGACCTTGTCGCACCCCCTACCTGCATCCCCTTTGACCACTTCCTCAATTTTGTAATTTCTTCATGAGATGAATTGAAACATATTTCATAAGCAGAGGAACTCACTCATTGTAATTCTACTGCAAGTGTGTGTCCTCACAAATATAGGAATTCACATCAGTTCCATTTCATGTGCTTGCCTATAAAAATGGATGGTACATTTGTAATTATTTATGCAGCATGTAGAGCATATTTCTGATGTAACTCCCAGTTTGACAAGATACAGCAGAGAACACCAAACCTTCTCGTGGAATGAACGGCCAGAGCCCAGCCTCTGGAGCCTTCCGTATCCAAATCCTTTGCAGCAGGAGCCCTTCCAGTGCAGGAAATACAGGACAGTTCCTTTGGACACGGTGGCTCCAGAGACACCGCTAGTCATTTCCACACCCGGATGGCTAGCAACAATATACTACACATGGGAACTGTACCCACATAGGTATATCTTGTCAGGGTCAAGGCTAGGGAGGGGCAAGATATGTCCCTGAGGTTAATGCTTAAAGAGGAGCTCATTCTCAGGGTCTAGCAAGTGTAAGTTTTGTCCCTTATGTTTTGCTCCTGGACACTTGCCTTACTCTACCCTAATCCTGGAATCATATCCACTGTCCCTAAACAAAATGTCTTCCCAACTGCGCTTCCCTTGGCTTGCTCCCTAAAATGTTCACTTGACAGCCACTCAATAGGAGAGGAAGTTAGAGTTGAAAGAGACAACTAAACTAGTGGTGGCTAAAATAAATTAGTTTGCAAAATTTACAAAAACATGTAACCATGTGTTCACATTGCTAGGGTACCCAAAATCTTGGGGAGGGGTTCTTTGGAAGTGAAGCTTTGGATTAGCCTCTTAATAAATCTACCTCTGCATTCCACCCATGGCCTTGTTTCCAAATCTAATTCTTCTGGCATATTTTTGCTTTCCGGATATTGGTTAAGAACTTGGGCTCTGGAGCTAGATAATTTGGGCTTGGTTTCTGGCGCTGCCACTTTCTACCTCATGAAACCTGAACTCTTTATTTAGTATCTGTATGCCCCCAGACTCTCTTATCTGTAAAATGGGTATGACTGATGTGAAGATGAAAGGAATTAGTTCATGCTTATGAACTGGCACATAATAAAAGCCCAGTATTTCTTAGCTATTGTTATTTTTGTCACTGGTAGTAGCACTATCAGTATTTGTATTAACACAAGATTGTTAACACAATCTTCTCACGGCACCTTGTAAACCCTAGGAGCCTTTGCGTCCTGACACAGCCCAGAGAAGCTGCCCTGTTTTCTGAACGGACTGTTGACTAAATGTAAGAGGAGGGTAGACAGGAAGGAGTCAGAGATAAATGGAAGCTTTTTAAAAAGATAATATAAGTTGCATTTAAGTAAATGAAGGAATTGGGGCTATAAAGAAATTTACTGGACCATAAATGTGTAAAGATTCATGGCATGCCAAAGGCCCACTGAAAATGGGTCTGACATCCCTTTGCTTCCAAATGATATGACAATGAATTATTTGGGGTGGGGGGATACACGGTGGGCCGTAACTAGACTCCCCCCAAAAGGTAGCTTCTTCATTCAGTCCCCTTAGAGGAGCTGTCCTGAACACGTCACTGGCCCCAGGGCGGGAGCTGAGGGGTCGAGGAGGCTCGAGGGGCCGGAAGAAGCGCGCGCTGCCAGCCCCGCGGCGGACGCAGGGACCTGACCTGGCCGTCCCTGCGCGGGCCGGCGATGTCTTCGCGGCGGGCCCCGGGGAGGAAGCTCCCTCGGCCCGCCCGGCTCCAGCGGGCTTGGGGTGCCGGAGCGGGCGCCCGCGGGCCCGGCGGCCGGTGCAGAGGCGCGGCGCGCAGGCTGGGGGCGCTGTGGTCCCGACGCGCGGACGGAGCCGCCGGAGCGGACCCGCCTCCTCCCCACCCCGCCCGCCCCCACGCGCCGGGCGCCGCGAGCCGGGAGGGGACGGAGCGCTCCGGCCGCAGCGCGCCGGGGCCACAGTCATTCGAGCGCGCGGGGCGGTGGCGCCGCCGGAGCGGAGTCTCGACCCTCCCGGGCCTCTTTGTCTGGGAGCCTCGCGGCCGGGAGCGGCCGCGCTGCGGGCCGGGGCCGCGCTCGCCGCGGCGGTGACAGCTCCGTCCTCGCGGAGGGCTCGGGCCGAGGGGCTGTCGGCCGGGCCCTGCTCGCCCGCGCCGGCGCGTCCGAGCGCGCGGACCCATGCCCCCGCAGCAGGGGGACCCCGCCTTCCCGGGCCGCTGCGAGGCGCCGCCCGTGCCGCCGCGCCGGGAGCGCGGGGGGCGCGGGGCGCGCGGGCCCGGGGCGCCGGGGGGCCGGGGGCGCGCGGGCGGCGCGGAGGGGCGCGGCGTCAAGTGCGTGCTGGTCGGCGACGGCGCGGTGGGCAAGACCAGCCTGGTGGTGAGCTACACCACCAACGGCTACCCGACCGAGTACATCCCCACCGCCTTCGACAACTTCTCGGGTGAGCCGGCCGGGCGCGGCGCTGGGGGCTGCGGGGCGCGCGCGGGGGTCGCGGACGCGGTGCGGCCGGACGCGGCGCCCAGGGCAGGAGGGCGGCGCGAGGGCGGGGGCGCGGGGGGTGGGCAGAAGGCGCAGGGCCGCGAGCCGCCCTCCAGCCGCTGAGCGGACCCGGTTCCGAGTGCGAGGCGTTTCCTAAACCTGGGTCCAGGCCGGCAGGGAGCAAACTGAGGGGCCGCGGAGGAGCGGGGATCCCTGAAACAGTGTGAGGAGGCAGCCCGGTGCGGTAGTCAGAGCCTCGGCGAAACAGAAATGATACTGCAGTTTGGCAGTAGCGGAGCGGGAAGCCAACAGGTCAGTCTGCCGCGTGGAAGTTGGGGCAGGTCGACGTGGCTGGCGCCAGTGCTGCGTCTCAGTGGATGTGACGCGCAGGTGCCACTTACCTGTGGCCTTTGGGTGACTCAGCTCACAAGGGACATCTCCACTTTCATGAGGTGGACGTAGCTGATTTGGAGAAAACAGCAGCAGCGCCACTGGTGAAGGATTAGGGTTGGATCAAACCTGGGGAAAGTAAACATGGTTTCTTTCTTCTGAGCCACACCGCCTCCCCAGCCCTCAGTTCCCCAGACCCCAAGGGCTGTTCCTGATTCTTAGTATCTTTACAGCATCTCTTTAAGCTGCTTACAGCTCTTGTGTATGGGATGCTGTGTTGCTTGGTTTGGTAGATACAAAGACAAAGCATCCTTTATCTTGATTGTTTTTTCAGCTCTTTTAAAAAAAAGGTTAAGAAAAAAGTTAAAATCCACAGAAACTAGTGTGAAACAATTCTTTTGTTTAAAACATTTGCTTCCTTTTCTCTTAGAAAGTCCTAATGGCAAAGGCCAGCATTTTTATATCTCAAAGGTACCCTGAATAAAAGGGTTCCACACCCGTGGGTTTCCTGTCTAAATAGCTTTTTCTTTTTTCTCTTCCCACCGACTAGTATAAACATTTGTTAACAATATAGAAAGTTGTATTGGACGGAGCTCAGCCCTTCATTCAAATAGGAATCTCCAGCAGTGCCCTGCTGCAGGCCTCTCCCAGGTACCCCGTCCCAATGGAAGGGTGGCCGCGGCTCCTGTCCTTCCTTAACCCTCACTTTAAACTGCCCGGGAAAAATGTGTCCTCTAGACCCAGGACAGTGAGGGCGGCCTATGTTTGCTCACACTCTGAGAGCAAGCTACAATTTTGTGATAAACCTTGAAGTCTCCAAGCATTTCCCAAGGGAATGCAGACTTTGGGGTGAGCTTTTCCACTGATTTAAAACTGCCAGGTTGGTTCCCACTTACCCCCAGTGTTGTTCTTTAGACTTTTTAAAACAAGTATGACAGGAATATGTATCTTCCAGGTCTGGGAGGAAAGCTCAGGCCCTTCTGGGATCCCTGAAGGCACTCAGGAATTTGCTGCCTCTTCAGGGACGATGATGACTCTGAGCCCTGGAGAGTTTGTCTAGAAAGTTGCATCCAATGCACCTCCTTGTTTCAGGGGAGGCTTTAATTCATTAGGGTCCCAGAACAGGAGCTAAGGGGCTTGGCGTGCGAATGGTATCACAAGCTAAAACTTATTTTTCTGGGCCTCCCCTGGTGGCGCAGCGGTTGAGCGCTGGGCTGCGAAGCTGCCCGCGGCCTCTGCAGCGCCGGTTCGATCCCCGGCCACCCGGCGAGGGTCCCACATGGCGCGCAGACCTCTCCTGCTGCCCGCTGCTCCCCTCAGCAGTGTACTTTGTCACTCTGCCTGTTCTGCTCTCCACTCTGGCTCTGGTGAATTCTCTCACCCTCCTGCGCTTCTGACTGTACCCAGAATAAAATAAAATAAATAAATAAATAAATAAATAAAATAAAAAAAAAAAAAGTAAAAAAAAAAAAAAATAAAATAAAACTTATTTTTCTGAAAGGGGTGGAAAACACTTCCTGATTGGTCCTTTGGTCTTGTTTTTAAGCTGTGGTATCTGTGGATGGGCGGCCAGTGAGACTCCAGCTGTGCGACACTGCAGGACAGGTCAGTGTCACCCTCGCCGCTCAGCACCGGGAAAGGAAACACCCTTTTCAAGGCTTCCAGTGAACCTTCCTCCAGAACTGGGTCATTCCAGAGTCGAGTCCTGAAGTAGCCCCACTGCTGTCCTTGGCCCCTCTGGGAGCGCAGGGCTCGGGGAATACCTGTGCACTCATAAAACAGGGTTTGACTGGATTTTGCACAGGCAGGGAAGGGGCCAGTACAGGGCTTATCTGCTCTGGAGTTTCTGCTCTGGTTCACTTCCTGGTTTGTGTTATCAATGATACTTTGTAATCATATCTCAAAGTAACTTGGTAATATCTTGTAGTCATTATTAAAGAAATTTACTCCAGAAAAAAAGATGGGGTTGATACCAGTAAATGTTACTGTTTCTGTTGTTCAGCCACAGCTTGATTCATTGGGGTTTCCTCCCACCCCCCAATCTCTTAAAGCTGAAAGACATTGGTGGAAGCTGTTCCTAGCTGTGGGGAGTGAGTGGGTTGAGACTTAGTCTTTCTAGTTTGTGAACATTCAGTTCTTGTCTTGAGGGCCAGAGCTGGAAGAGAGCCAGGGAGTGGTGGAGAGGTTATGGGTTTGAGGGACATTCTCCTGAAGAGCTGGCGGGGGGGGGGGGGGGGTGCTCATCTTCACCCCACCCTCCCCCCACACAGTGCTCCTGTTTCTGAAGATGCCCTGTGCTGTGGGACGCCAGGGTCAGGTCTCTTGTGTTTGCTGAACTGTCAGTCTCTCCAGTACTTGCTGGAGTTCCAGAAAGTGCTGGGAGTACCTTGGAGGTGGATACATGCACCTGCTTCACTTTCTGAGGTGTTGCCAGAACCATATGCATTGAAGAAGTTGATTTTCCAGTATCCAGGCCACCCAAGTGGCTTACCTAGCCTGGGGCAGCCAATTCCAAGCTTTATTTTTCAAACCTGAAGGTGCCACGAGACTGGGCAGTCTTGACCCCCAGCTGGATGCCAGCTTGGTGGTAGCCACGGTGGCCTGAGCTATAGCTCAGCCTGTTGTTTTATCTCCTTATCCCACCCTGGTGCATCCTCTCCCCTGGGAGTAGAAACATCAGACACAGTCTATGTGTCATTGCCTATAGGAAAGAAAAGTCAGAGAAGACAGGTTTTTTCAATAGTAAATATTTTGGGATGCCCTGCTGGTATTTATAACTAAAGCTTAACTACTTTGTATTAAGTGAGAATGTTTTTCTTACTCTAGGTCAAATTTTCTGATCTTCAAAATGAGGGCAGAGTAGCACCTCTGTAAATGTGGGCATCCCTAGGGAAGAATGAATGGCACCTTAGCAGCCTGAGAATAAGATGGAAAACACACTAACACCAGAAACTAAGAGGCGCACTTCTTGGGGACTCTTAGGGTAGCAGTGTGCAGCCCCACGCATGTCCCTGCCCGCCACTGCAGCTCTCCAGTCACGTGTCACTCACACAGCTTCTGGAGCCGACAGTTCGTAGGATGTACGCATGGTTCCTGGCACATTTGTGGAATGAATGGATTAATGGAGTGCTAGGTCCTGGGGGATGCAAACTTAAGTCATGGCCTGCCCCTCAGCAAACCTGGTGCATAGGGAGGACACACCAGTTAGCAGAGCTGGCGAAGGAAGCCGGTGAGTCACACAGAGGAAGGCAGTGTTGGCTAAGGTGCAGGGTAGGAGGGCCTGAGAGGAAAACCTGCCAGCAGTTTTGAAAGAGAAATGGGATTTTTACTGGAAAAGCTTTGTGGAAAGGATCCTGCATCTCAAGGAAGAGTTCTGTTTTTCCCTGGTGTTGTAGGTTTAAAAATCAGGGGAAGCACGAGAATAATTTCAGAAATATTTTTATGAGAAAAGTTTATAAAAAGGGGCAGGGGGAAGATCTTGGTACTAAGTTGGTAAGCCTTAGTTTATTTGGAACTTATCCTTCTGGTCTCCCAGCAGTGTTTTCATTGAGATTGATTGTATTTCCCCCTTTTTTTTTTTTTTTTTTAAAGAACCAGGGTACAGGTCAGATGTGCAGCAGGGTGAGAGGATTCACCAGAGACAGAGTGGGGAACAGAATAGGCAGACTGACGAAATACACTGCTAAGGGGAGCAGCAGGCGAGACAGGAGTGGTCTGCCCCACCGTGTGGGTTGCTCCGCAGCTGGCAGGGATCAAACTGGCACTGCAGAGGCTGCGGACAGCTTCATAGCACTGCGCTCAACTGCCTGTGCCACCAGGGAGGCCCTGTATTTCTTAACTGATGTACTGCTGTGTAAAGTAATAGTAACTGCGTTATTATCTAATGAATGAGACTGAAGATTCATAGAATGCCAACTTCTAAAACTATGAAAAATACACAGCTGGTAAGATCAAGTTACTTTTTTGCCAGCTTCCTGAATATCTGTTAGTATTTGTTTGGGCTGTTAGGAGAGCTGGGGAGGGGGGTGGTCCCAACCTGCCTCTCCTAGTCCAGATGTTATAAACTACCTTTCAATGGACTTGATTTGACATCTGCCACATTTCCTTCATGTATTGGCCCAGGTGGTGGAACTCCCCCTTCTTCTGTTCTTCTGGGAGGTCCTTGTGCCAGCCTGGTGGGCTATAGGGAGTGCAAAGACCTCCCCCTTCAAGCCCCAGGAGAGTGAGGACACATCTCTGTAACTTGGGACCCAAATCCAGGTTTCTTACAGAAGTGAAGAGCAAGAATGTAGCTTGACTGGCTGACTGACTATGTAGACGTTACTTCTGGTGCCTTTGGCAATTCTCATTGGGCGGGGTTGGGGGGCGCATAGGTCAGGCTCTAAAATGTTAAAAGGAATGTTTTAACACTGGACCATGCTCAAGTGAAAACCAACCAGAGGCTGAGGACTTTAAGAAACGTAACTTTGGCATGAGTGAGAGTATTGCTGAAATGGAGTAACTCCCTGTAGCGGTGCCAGCTCTAAGGCCTTCTGACCCATGAGGCACTTGGAAAAATCTTTATACTAGGGAAAAAAAAGCCAGGTTTCAGTTTGCTCAGTGCTTCCTCCAACTGCCTGTCTGCCCTGTCATGCCCTTGAACCAGATCTGTGTGTCATCGTTGCCACAGGCCTGGCACACGCACGCTGATCGCTGGGCCCCAAAGGCGTTTCCTGGAGGTGCATTCCCTTTGTGCTCATGGCACCTCTGTGTGTTTCATTTATTTCAGCAAATAGCTAAGGTTTCTGGTCAGGCAGTAAGCAGGAGGGTTTAATTTCTGCTTTGCCACCTAAACCCCGTAGCCAGAATCTCAAGAGGGCTGGGGAGCCAGATTTCCAAAGCCCTGTCACGAGGCCTGGCCCCTGTGCTTGCCTTCCTTTTTATTGGTAAGCAACCCCAGATTCCAGGGCACAGCCAAGGAAACCGCCTTCCTGCAGTGAGGTGCAGCTGCCTCAGGAGCTGACTTGACACCACTCTCAGTTTTGTGCTTGTTCCTTGGAGGTCCCTGAGGATGGAGGGAGCATGTCATTAAAAGTTCTTTGGAGGGGGCCTCTCCAGTGGTGCAGCAGGTTGAGCACAGAGCTGTGAAGCTTTCCACAGCCTCTGCAGTGTGGGTTCGATTCCTGGCCAGCCAGGGAGATACCCACATGGAGCAGCCCACCTATCTTGTCTCGCCGCTGCTCCCCTCAGCAGGGTATCTCAGTCAGTCTGCCTGTTCTGTTTCCCGCTCTGTCTCTGGTGAATCTTCTCACCCTCCCACGCCTCTGGCCTGTACCCCAGTTCTTGTATAAAAATAAAAAATAAAATCTTAAAAAAAATTAAAAAAAATTTCTTTGGAGCTGGGCTGTCGCTCACCAGGTTGAGGTCTGTGTTTATTGAGCACAAAGTTGGCACCAAGAAACACAGACCTGTTTTTGTTTTTTTTTTTTAAACTTTACTGTTGAGAGTAGACGGACCAGTGGGAGTGATGGCCTGAATGCTGTGTCCATTCCTGATCATTCTAGCTGGTCAGCTTTAATATTAATAGTTAGTTGTTGCCTCACAACTAAGTGCATTCAAATGGCACAGATCTGGGTTTCCTTTATACCTCGAAAAGGCCACAGATGCCAAGTAACATGCATGTAAATCATAGTTTGTAAACCATCAGAGTTTGCCAATGGAGTAACAAAATTCTGGATGGCATTTAAAAACTTTTCCTTGCTTCTGGGACATTATATGTTACATTACACCTGAGGATGGCTGGTGGTCAGAGATAGAGATTTTAAATGTGAATGAGATGGTGTATTTTAGGAAGTGGATGTTGAGTGAAAGCCTGCAGGATACTAGAGGGTGCTTGAGATAAAGAAACGCTGATTTCGACACAGATGTCTCTACAAGAGCCAAGGTCATATCTATCTGTTCCCAACCATGCCCTCTGGCCATGACAGTGCCTGGCATCCAGCAGGCATCTCAGTCAAGTGGATGGCTGCAGCAGGGCACTTAACACGATGCTGGCACACATTAACAACTCTCATTTATTCCAGTCTCTTCTCTGTACCTTAAGAGTAGGGTGGGTAGGTCCTTTCTCTGGCCCTTTATCTTCCCAAAGCTTGCAGGAGGCCTCTGGTATTGGCAGAGAGAAAAGGAGGGGAGAGGGAGTAATAGAAATGGAAGGAAGGAGGGGAAGGAGAAGATAAAGCAAGAAGGAAAAGGTGTATCAAGCAAGAGTAAGAATGCATTAACCAGTGTTATAAACGAGTTGCCTGTGAGGAGGCCTAGTGAAGGTGCACAGCTCCCTCCTTGTGTCTAATTAACCGCTCTCTGCTGTGTGCCCTGGGCATGCCCTGGGTGTGCTCAGGGCAAATGGGATGAGATGGCATTGCTAGTGGCTGTCATGAGGATGTGCAGGACTACATTTTTAGAGAGCAGAGTTGTGCTGCTAGACAGCGCTTCACTGGGGACAGGAATCTTGGAGATAAGCATGATGCCATCTACAATACATTTTAGAAGAGGAACTATGTACCAGACTTGAGAGAGTAAGTAGATTACTCGGGGCTAAAGGCTAAAGTACATTTTATTCCTTCAAGCCCATTTATTTAAGTCCCTTTTCTACAGTAAGTTGCAAGTAGGTCATGGTACTGATGAAAACGTTTGGCAAATTATGTGGGGTCAGGAGCATGGGCAGGATCCTTCCTAAGACTTGGGCTCTTCCTTTTATAGCTGATGGACTCTATTACCTCCCAAGCTGCTGAGGAGAATTGATTTTAAAAATAACTTCGGGGTGCTGTGATTGTTTGCAGGATGAGTTTGACAAACTCAGGCCTCTCTGCTACACCAACACGGACATCTTCCTGCTGTGCTTCAGCGTGGTCAGCCCCTCATCTTTCCAGAACGTCAGTGAGAAATGGGTGCCAGAGATTCGATGCCACTGTCCCAAAGCACCGATCATTCTCGTTGGAACTCAGTCGGATCTCAGAGAAGACGTCAAAGTCCTCATTGAGTTGGACAAATGCAAAGAGAAGCCAGTGCCTGAAGAGGCGGCTAGGCTGTGTGCAGAGGAAATCAAAGCCGCCTCCTACATTGAGTGTTCAGCCTTGACTCAGAAAAACCTCAAAGAGGTCTTTGACGCAGCCATTGTTGCTGGCATTCAATACTCGGACACTCAGCAGCAGCCAAAGAAGTCCAAAAGCAGGACTCCAGACAAAGTGAAAAACCTCTCCAAGTCCTGGTGGAAGAAGTACTGCTGCTTCGTATGATGCTAGTGAGAAACCCGGGGAGGTTATTTTCAGATGCAATTGATATTAGAGGCTATATTAGCTGAAATGACTCCTTTTACTGTGTAGAAACTGTATAGAGAAAGTGAGTGTATATGTATTATAGGAGGCTTTCTCAATTTATGTATTCTGTCTTGCCTTTGGTTTTTCCTGTTTGTTTGAGCTTAGGGATCAGATACTTATGCAAGATATTCTAGATGAAAGTTAAGCGTCCTTCCTAACTCTGGAAATTTAGAGCTCTAGACCTCTGGATACAGCATATCTAAAATGAAAGAGACACCTCAGATCTGGGAGACAAGGTGAAGCTTTGCTCCATGACAGTGTACAAAGAACAAAAGAGGAAATGTGGTTAACCTCCCTTACTTAAGGGCTACTTAATGCACGGTGTATTATATACACAGACCAGCTATGAAAGAACTCTCTTAGCTTTGAAACTCTATCCTTTTAACTTTCTTTTCTTATGGAGAAACCTCATCTATGAAGCCTCAGACCAGTCAGGTTTGCCACATGCTAATTCCTATTTCCTAAAATTTTAAAAACAACCTACAAAAACATCCCGCTAACTCTGTGGCACAGTGGAGCCCCAAAAGGAAAATTTGCTGGATGGGATTTTTCATTCTTAGATACATTGTGTGGACATAGCCCAAACGCCATAAAGGCTAACGCAAGTGTTGGTCTCTCTTCTTTAAGGAGTGTTTCAGCTGAGAGCAGAATGTGCTATTTGCTATCTATCCATAGACTTGCCCCAAATGCCAGGTCCAGATAATGAGAGCACTGGGGAGCACTTGCCAGAATGGCTTGTAATGTTCTGTGCTTAGACGGGCCTGGCAGTGAATGCTTTTGAAGGACTGCAGCGTGTTTGTGGGACACCAAATGTACTTTTCTTTCTTAAGTCAACAAAAGTGTGTGTGCCCATGTACATGTGTGTGTGTATGGCTATATTTGTGGCTGATTCAGACTTTTGAGGAGTTAATGGGAAAAGGCATGGCCACAAAAACAGCTGTGAGGGAAACTTGGCTTCCTCTTTTTGTTAACATGTTTTTGAACAGCTCTTTTTGATTATACCCTAGATATGATTTTAAGTATATCTTAAGTAACACATTTGGAGACATCTTAAAACAAAACACAAATATCTCTTAAAATCGACTTTCAAATGAATGTCTCTTAAAACCTGTTCACCAGTTAAATCCACAGATGCCTTTTAGGGAGATGATTGAAGAGACCAAGGGGGGTGTTTTGGGGGCCTGCTGTGGCCAGCCAAGGGTGTGCTGGAACTACAGCTCCCCCAATCAGCTGCTCCCTTACTGTGGAACAGTCCAGAAATCACATATTTGTGAAACATCCATGTTCTTCAGGTAACAGTTTTTAGGGCTTAATCTTCTGGAGAAAAAAATGCCATATCGGGAGAGTAGCTTTGCTCTACGATGGGTATGTGTCGGAGATGCCAAAAGGTGGCCTGCGGCTTTGCGTCGCAATGGCAAGCTTGCAGGTATACCAAAATCCACTCAGTCGTTAATGAGGGAACTTTCTGTTGAGCCAACCAATAGAAGGGTTTGATCTTTTGTAGGTCTTGTGTTGTCTTTTTTATATTTAAAAAAAAATCCAATTTGTGTTTTTCTATAGAAATAAAAGATCAGTTTATACTTTAGGTTAGGGGCTCCTTTTATTTCTTAATAAATAAAATTAATTTCTTGGTTTAAAAACAAAAATACAGAAACTGTTTCCTGTTTATTTTTTAATACATTGAAAGTTATATCAGTCCTACTTTCCTAAAGTGTTTTGTTACAACCTGAGTGCATAAAATCACTCCATTTGTGGAAATGCACTCACAGACCTTCTGAAATGGATTCCTAGCTGTGTGGCTGGTTCACTTCTCTGTGAGAAGCAGCTTCCCAGGCTGTACTCTGCCTGCCCTGGTATGCAGAGGTAGGCATATGGAAAGAGTGATCTGACTGGTAGGTAAACAATATTTTTATATTTAAGCAGAAGTCATGGGGTACAATGCAAATTTATTGTTAAGATAGAAGACAAAACTTGAAAGAAGTTTAATGCCTGTGACTGCATGTGGGGCCTTCAGAACCTTTTGCCTTCAGGGTCCCTGATGGGCAGTGGTTACTGAAAATGGCCTGTGCAGCCTGCTTCTGAGCACTTTCCTCATTGGGCTTATTGGGCTTTAAAAAAAAAAGATTTATTTTATTTATACATATAAGAACTGGGGTACAGGCCAGAGGGGTGTGGGGGGGTAGTGCGAGGATTCACCAGAGAGAGTGTGGAGCAGAACAGTATACTGAAATATACTGCTGAGGGGAGCAGCTAGGCAAGATAGGAGAGGTCTGCTGTGCTATGTGGGTTAGTCCCTGGCCGGCTGGGGATCGAACTTGTGCTGCAGAGGCTGCTAATTGCTTGATAGCACTGTCTTTAACCCCTGTGCCACCAGGGAGGCTTTTTTTTTTTTTAAGATTGATTTATTTATTTATACAAGCACTGGGCACAGTCAGAAGCACTGGAGGGTAAGAGAATTCACCAGAGCCAGAGCAGGGAACAGAACAGGCAGACTGACGAAGTACACCGCTGAGGGGAGCAGCGGGCATGGCAGGGGAGGTCTGTGCGCCATGTGGGACCCTCGCTGGCAGCCGGGGATTGAACTGACGCTGCAGAGGCTGCGGGCAGCTTTGCAGCCCAGCGCTCAAATGCTGCGCCACCGGGGAGGCCCCCATGGGCTTATTTTTAACCCAGCTTAGTATCTCCTGTACTATTAGAGCTAAAAATCTAGAGGGCTGACATTTAAATGCAAAGTTTTTATACCTTGCTGTTTTGTAGACTAGTGAATTTCCCTCCTGAGGCTTCTCTCCACTTTTTTATTTCTCTGTGAAAATAGGGACTTGGGTGGAATTTTTTTTTTTTTTTAAGTTTGTGCTTGAATTAAATAGGAAGTTGATTCATGTCCAAGAGCAAACATCATTAAATGTGTAGCTCGGTATCACGGAGACATTTTAAGAGTTGTACTTTAGACGATGCCACTTTGCCTATCAGCACCTAAAAACACAATACACTCCAACACTATTTTGGTATCTGTTTTAGCCATGGAACCTTTAGGGATGTTGTTCTCAGGGCTTGACAGACTTAAGAGAAACCACCCAGGGATTATCCAAACCAAAAGGAGGGCAAGGTGTTCCCCGGAGACTGTGGTAATCTGGTGCCTTACAGAGTTGTGCTTTTCCAACTTCAAGTGTAAATGGTGTTGAGCAGAATGTTGAAAATGCTATAAATGAGGTGGTATGAAATAAATTCTGACTACAGATATAGTTCACTTGTCTTTTCTATCAAAGAATCTCACTGGAAATTAAAGTTTAGCCAAAATGCAAAGCATATGGGTGGGTAAGGATCAATGGCGCCCCCAGAGGCATTTTGGGATTGCATTCCCCAGGCAACATTAAATGTTTATTTAATACGGGGCTTTGGGAATCCTGGGACCACGGTCTGAGAAGCATTCCACTGCCTCTGTAGTGGGCAGTGGACTGCCTTTGCCCTGGGGTGAGGGAGCACTGTTCTTGGAGCTGCTAGTCCAGGTTCAAAGGGGTGTTAGTGCGTGATGAAGCAGGAAGGTGACTAGATCCAAGACTCCATCTCAAGTGTAAACACACTTGCTTGGTCACCAGGCTCTTGGATTCCTGAATAGGAACCCATGTGTACTGGCAGGGTAAACATCTGAGATTTTTTATCACCAAGGATGGGTGGTGGTGAGAAGTCAAAGGTGGCCTGAGTCACATCAGTCTGACAGTGAAGACTGTAGATCAGGTTCCCTCTCTGAGATGTCCTTGTGCGGGGTGGGAATTCTTCAGGTTCTCTAGGCTGGTCTCCGCATGTCGCCAGATGCAGCCCCTACACCAGGGGTTCTGGGGAATTCACACCCCAGCCAGGAAACATTCTGAGGGGCCAGTTATCATATTCTGCTCCACCTTCCAGTGTCAAGGGGGTAGCCAGGGCTCTAGTGGAGGGTAGTCCTGACCTTTTGTTCCCCACAGGGCCTCTGAGTCCGGGCTTTGACTTTTCATATCCACTAAACATTCCATCACAATGAACTGGAATACTGTGCAGACAGCAAATAAATCTACTGCTCATCTGCACACAACCTGGAGTGCCAAAAGCCAGCTTGCTTCCTGGCCTGCACTGGTCTTTAAGGATCACCCCAATCATAGCCTCAAGGCACCTGGAAGTTTCTCCTCACCTGACTCCCATTCTTCCTCCCACATCTGGGACACAACATCCAGTCTCTTTAGAAGAGATCAGGGGGTGTATCTCAGAGGTGAGGGAATGAGAAATATGTAGGAGAAAAGGTGTTTTGTATTTTTAAGGAATAGCAGGTGCAAAGGCCCTGAGGTAGAGGAATGTCTGGCATGTCCTAATGGCCAGTGTGCACAAGAAAGAAGGATTGCAGGGAGAGGATCAGGAAATGATGGCAGGCAGGGGATGAGTCACGGAGGAAAGGAATGGGAGAGATAGAAAAAAGGGGCAGAAGAAAGCTGAGCTCTGGCATCAGGCTGTCTGGGCTTAAATCCCAGCTCTGCCACTTACTGGTGTTGATTTCTTAAGCAGCTTAACCTCTTAACATTTCTGTGTATAAAGTTTTGAATCTATAAAGAGTATATGCATAGCTGTTATCCCAAGGGACTGAAGTGGTTATGAATGCACAGTACCACTGCACCCCAAGTGCTCAGTGAGCGTCTGCTCTGCTGTGTCTGTATGGCAGGCCTCATGAACAGCCTGGTTAATCCCCTTCACTGCTGGACACTCAGTGGATCAACTTAAAATTGGTCTCTAATGACTTTCATATTCATTCCTATCTATCAAATGTTATGAGATCTATGCTTTTAATGGTTAATGGAAGATTTATTTTTTCATTTCTACATTTTTGATAAAATAAGAGCAAAATAATATAAATTGTCCCAGCCAGTAGTTGCACAGGTTGACTCTGAACCATAGATTTTGCTGCTGAGTCGGTGGGCGTACTGGGGGCCACACCACAGGCACCCCCACACGCTATTCCCACAAAGGGAAGATTGCACCCAGTAGACAAAGGTGCTTGGGGAATTGGGGTGAGGAAGCAAAGCGGGGGTAGATGGAAGTCAAGAATCCCTTGTGTTTCTTAGTTCCCTTCAAGCACAGAGTAGCACACACTTGGTCTTGTGAATCCAGACTGGTTTTAAAGTCATTGTTTATGAGCTCGAGTACCCAACCAGTGTCCCCTGTCATCCCATGTGATGTGAGATGCTGACAATAAGGCTAAGTCTTAACTAGAGACAGTTCACATAGGACAAAGGCAAGTGGTGAGGAACCTGTTGATTTTGCTCTAAAAAGAGGACATATTTGGGGGCCTCCCCCCCCCCCGGTGGCGCAGCGGGTTGAGCGCTGCGCTGTGGAGCTCTCCGCAGCCTCTGCAGCGCAGGTTCAATTCCTGGCTGGCCAGGAAGATTCCCACATGGCGTGGCAGACCTCTCCTGTCTCACCCACTCCTCCCCTCTGCCTGTTCTGCTCCCCACTCTGTCTCTGATGAATCCTCTCACCTTCTCGTACCTCTGGCCTGTACCCCAGTACTTGTATAAAAATAAATAAATCTTAAAAAAAGAAATGGCAGTAATCTATCTATGCACAAAGGAGACCAAATACTGGGATTTAATCATTTTAAAAAAAAATTGGACATATTTGGGTACAGAATAATCCAATTTCCATTCATTTCCCCTCTGAATGTCCTGCAGGTGCTTTTGAATTTAACTCACCACATTAGTTTCCTGCGTTGCTCTAACAAATTACTACAAACTCAGGGGCTTAAAATAACACAAGTTTCAGGCCCCCCTGGTGGCCTAGGGGTTATGTCTCAGCGCTATCACTTCAATGCCCTGAGTTCGATCCCCGACCAGGGCGCTAACCCACATGGTGCAGCAGACTTCTCCTGTCTCACCCACTACTCCCCTCTGCAGTGTATTTCAGTCAGTCTTCCTGTTCTGCTCCCCACTCTGTCTCTGGTGAATTCTTTCACCCCCTTGCACCTGTAAGCCTCCACCCCACTTCTATGCAAAAGTTAAATATATATATATATATATTTATATATCTGAAGATGAGACATCAGATTGGGTCTCACTGGACTAATGCCAATGTATGTACCTTCTGAGGCCCTGGTGGATCCATTCTCTTGCCTCTTCCTCTTCTAGAACCCACCTACCTTCCTTGGCACCTGATCTTCCTCCATCTTCCAAGTCAGCAACTGCCAGTCAAGTCTTTCTCACAAGGTTTCCCCCTAACACTGTCTCTTCTGCCTCCTTGTCCACAACTAAGGGTCCTTACATATAAGGACTAAGGGCTAACCTGGAGCACCCCGGGGTGCCCTTCCCATCTCAAAGGATTAATGAACTTAATTCTATCTGTAGGTTTAAATCCTCTTTGCCATAAAAACCTATAATCACAGGATCCCAGGCTCAGGGCATGCATCTTTTTGGAGGCTAGTCCTTGGCTGGGAACTCATCTTCAATTCATTGTTCCTCAACACTCATCCCTTCTTCTTTTTATGAAATGCCCAGAATGCACCACAACAGCTTTCCTCTTGTCCAAACCAGAAATCTGTCATCAGCTCAGACACCCTTGCCCACATGTTTTAGCTCTAACTGTTCACCATGTTCTGTCATTTGGGCATTTATTGTTCTTCATCCCCCCCCAACTCTTGTCATGACATGAACCCAGATGCACCCCATCTCTCTCTGCTTCTCTTGCCTCTCCTCCTCCAGCCCAGCTCTTCTGGCCTCTCCAGCCATCCTCTGTGTGGTGGCCGGTAGGATATTTTTTTCCAAACAAAGCTTTTCATGTCATTTCACTTCTTTGATGGCTCTCCATGCCTTGTAGCATTAATTTATAAACAAATTTTGCAGACCCCATATGATAGTAATCATACTTTTGCTATTTTTACCATCTCACAGAGTAGAAAGCCACATGCAAAAAATTAAATTAAAAATTGAATGAGCCACATGCAATTAGGATTTCACATTAATTGATATAGCACTTAATAAAAAAAAACCTCTGAATTTAAAAACATTTTTCATTTTCTTTTATATTCGGTAACACTTTCAGTTGATATTGAGCTAATCACAGAAACATCTACAGATAACTGAAACACGGGGTGCACGTTTGTGATGTTATTCCACAAGCACTGACTGGTGTGTCTGGGAGTCTCCCAATATCTTGATGTTAAGTCCATTGCTTCCTAGAGTTTCTGGTCCTCAGCTGGGGAACCACAGACCTGTAAAAAAGAAAAGTCTAAATTTCTTTTGCAAGGCTTGCAAGGATTTTATTGCTCTGGAACTCACCTCCAGCCTGCATTAAATGTCCTCCCTGGTTCATCCTGGCTCACGTCCCAGTTCTCCTATAGGGGCTTTGCATTCTCAAATCCCCAGACTTTGGGACATTTATTCCCAGTGCATGAAGGTTCTTCTGTCCACTTGTGTGAATCAAAGTCCTCCTTCAGGTCTCAAGGTGATGTCACCTTCTCTGTGCAGTGATGCCCACTGCAAATAAATGTTTCTTCTACTCTCTCTTTGCAAAGCGGACATGCACTTCTTTTTTTTTGAAAAAAAAGTTTGATTAATCTTCCCTTTTATTTTTTAAATTTTTAAAAAAAATTTTAATTTTTTTTACTTTTAAAATTTTTTTAAGATTTTTTTTAAGATTTATTTATTCATTTATACAAGCACTGGGTACAGTTAGAAGCGTGGGAGGGTGAGAGAATTCACCAGAGCCAGAGAGGAGAGCAGAACAGGCAGAGTAACTGAAGTACACTGCTGAGGGGAGCGGCGGGAGTGTCAGGAGAGGTCTGCGTGCCTTGTGGGACCCTTGCCCGGTGGCTGGGAATAGAACCGACTCTGCAGAGCTTCACAGCCCAGCGCTCAACCGCTGCACCACCGGGGAGGCCCTTTTAAAATTTTTTTAATTTTATATATATTTTACATAATTTTTCATTTTTGTAAAATGTATGCATTTTATTTTTTTAAAGATTTATTTATTTATGCATACAAGAGCTGGGGTACAGGTCAGAGATGCAGGGGGTGAGAGAGTCCACCAGAGACAGAGTGGGGAACAGAACAGGCAGATTGAGGGGAGCAGCAGGCAAGACAGGAGAGGTCTGCTGCACCATGTGGGTTGCTCCCTGGCCAGGGATCGAACTTGTGCTGCAGAGGCTGTGAATTGCTTCATAGTGCGGTGCTTAACCCCTTGCACCAACAAGAGGCCCAAAATGTATGCATTTTAAAGGAGCAATCACTTAAAGTGTGTTTCAGCTTTCTCTGCCCACCTAGCTCCAAAAAATGTCCACTCTGCCTGCTCTTGGAATGCAGAGAGGGAAGCCAAGATACCACTATGGGCTGATCCTTCTTTGGTCTCTTCTCCCATGATTTTGTACATGGAGAACAGCTACTTTCTTTCTGCCAAACATAATAAGAGCAAAACAAAACAGAAAACAAATAAAGGGCTGTTGTGTGTGTGTTTGTGCATTAGGGATGCTATGATCAACTGCCATTGATCGTTGAAGGCTAAGGTAAGATGGTCTCCCAGAATATGAAGGTCAGAGAATTCCAGGTTTCCCCTTCACACTGACGGTAAATTATTAGATGAGTACAGAGTGGAGTGAGGCCAAGCTGTCCAGCAAGACAGACTGGCTCCAAGGCCAGCAGGGCTTGGTGATCATCTACCTTGATTCTGGATCTTGTTGAGTGGGTGTTATGCAGCAGTTTCGGTCAGACATGGCAATACAGCTATGGGGTGTCCCTGGCGAGATGTTGGCACGGACCCCCTTGGGCTTAGCTGACTGCCTGAGATCGATGTGTCACCTCTACTGGGGTGACAGCTACTGAGTATAGCAGCAATGAATTTGAATATTTCTGGTCCCATTGGCAAAACACACCTCCACCTCGAGATAAATAACATCTTGTCTTATCTTGATATCATCAAACACTCCTTATTCTCCCATTTCTCCTATTCTTCAATATGATTTGACAACTCAGGGCAGTCCCCAAAGAAAGAGAATGTACCAGTCGTATCAGCTACCTGAAATTCCCCTCCCAAGACAGTGCTTTCACACATTTCCCTAGTAGAGTAGCTTCAGATTAGGATTTGATTTCAGCTGAAGACAAAATGTACTAAAAATGTCAATGTGAATATTTTATATCTTGCCTGGTTTTGCCAACGATGTAGAAACATTCTCCATAAGGCTGTTTCTAGTATCAAAAGTATTTCCTCTCAATCAAATAGCTAGTGTTGTAACATTAATTCGGCAGATGGTAGTTGTCACTGTGGAAAGCATTTCCATAAAGACACATGTTCTTATAGTGCAAGTATACTGATTTGGAATGTTTAAATTTAAAGTAGAAATAGATCTTTGACATTCTAGTGTATCTCTTAGCACACAAGCTTTTGGAAGTAGCACTTGCCTCAGTCACAATTTGTCAGATGTTGGATCAAAATTGGTCAGGGTTTAACCTAAAGACAAGTGCCAATATTGTAGATGGGGGGGGGGTAGAAGAGAGAATGCTGTGCAATAGGAACAGATATAAAATTGCCATTTTACCATGAAAATCAGTAAGCCTGGCTACTATTTGCGCTTCGAGTTGTCTTGAATTTAGACAACACCAGACCCAGCCAGCTGGGCATGAAATTCATTTTTAATCTGTTCAAGTGTCTCAAGAGGTACTTGATAGGGACTTAGAACACTCATTTCTAAAATGTCATCAGGCACAGCATGAGCAGCAAAAATAGTTAGACTTGAATCATTTAT